CTGCCAAGCAATTTATTCACATGTACGAAAAACGCAAGAATAATTGACAAATATTACCCGAATAAATGTCTCTCGAAGTAATTAGTGGGCTTAAAGAGTACAACAAACATTATTTTATTACTTCAGTATTATTCAGCATTGGGAATCACAATATCCGCTGTACAAAACAAAAATTCATCATCGGAAAACCACATATACCGTGCATTTCTTTACACGAGTAATGCATAAAACTTAAAAGTTATATTTCTTCTTTCCCCATATTCCTTCCTATTTTACTTATCTTTATTCATATATGATTTATATTTTTTTTTTTTTTGTAGTTTTACCTTACTTTGCAACTTTACTGATAGCTTATGGAGGTTTTCAATTTATATGCAACTAAATCTCATGTTATGTATGTATATATCTGTATACGTTTGGGACTCCATACGAGCCATAAGAAAATAACAGTCGCAAATAATATACTTATTCTGCCTTTCTTTTTTACGTCTTATATTTTTAAGGACATTATCATGCTTTTAGAGTCTTACTCTCGCAACGCTACTCGCGAACGGCGCACAACGTTCTCGTACATCAAACGATTTCTTCGAGACTCGAAGATATTAAACGCAGTCGAACTACAAGAAGGCATTCGCACTCCCATTTTCTCTTTCACTAGCATACCACGTTCAATATTTCAAAAATTAATAGTCAATACAATCGATGTACGATTCGGCCTCGCGTGCGCACGCGTATCTCTATGAATCATACAAAATCAATCTTTTTTTTTTATTTTTTTATCTTTTTTTTCTTTATATAAGGAACAATTTAACGTTCCTGTTCGAAAATCAAAACCCCCTGGTAAATACGTGAGTAAAATAATTATTTCAGCTTAATTCGCATACACGGTCATCATAAATAAATAAAGTTTTGACTGTTCCAAATAACCATAATATTGTCCTACTCTATTTTGCGATTTACGCATGTTTTATTATTTTTGTTTTTCTAATTTTTCTTTGTTCGATTTTTATTCGCGAAAGAAAAGAATAATTACTGTTTTATCTCTCGATTCCACAAAATCATAATACATGCAACGCGAAAAATTATTTAGTCAGTTTTTCTTGTTTTTTTTTCCCCCTCATCTTCACGTTCTATTCTCTTACGTTGTGTTACAAAAATTTCTTTGAGATTCTCTTTCACTTAATCGGAGTTGCATGCTTGTCGAATTAATTAATAGTATACAAACAAAAGCTCAACTGAAAATTTAAAACTTGCTTTTTCATATATGTTTGTTTGCAAATATATGTTTGTTTCTACCGTCCGGCGTGTATTGTACTTAATTACATTCAGAAGCATTTGACGATTCCTTAATTTGTAGGACATGATGGTTTTGAATATCGAGTTTTCGAAAATTAACTACTTATAGCAATAAGATTCATTTTTATTTGTCCAAAAATTCTAAACGCAGGATCTGCAAAGCACTGATTAGTTTCCTATATTCCTGCGCGATAATACAAAAAACTCACAATAAAGTTCTCTCAAAGAACTTTTTCTGTTTTTTTTTTGTTTTTTTTTTTTTATTTTTTTATTTTTCCTCTTAATTTCTTTATTTCAATCTTTCTTTTTGAAACTCGAATTCAAATCAGTCCACAAGGGCAGAGCACGTATCGTAAAAATCTTAATCTAAAGTGAATACTTATATATATAGTAGTGCGTTGTTCATTCAAAAAGATACAACGCGACTATTCTGCTGTGATTGAGTAGCAGATTGTTCGTTGGTCGTGCGATTTTGACTGCCAGGATTATTTTGCTGTTGTTGGTTAGCAGGTTTACGATTTCCACCTCTGGAACCTCTATAACCACCTCGGAAACCAGAACCACCAGCACCACCACCTCGATACATGCCTCCCATCCCACGATTATAATAACCGCGTCCACGAAAACCACCGCGTCTTGTTGACGCTACACCAAATGTTTCAGAGTTCAATTTGCGCTCTGTCCTCCAGTCTGTACGTTGGAATCGTCTATAATAATAATAATAATAATAATAATAAAAGAATGATTTTTTTTAAATAAAATATTTTAATTATAAAATTTATAATGATTATTGTAACACAAGTTACTTACCCTTTACTTCTTTCCACTGCTTCGCAACTGATGTTATCAAAGAACGATTTTGATTTGTCATAATGAACTATCTCTGGTTCTTCTTCTGGTTCACCTTCACCTGCTCCAGTTTCATTACCACTATCATCTTTCTTTTCATTATCAGCACCAGAATCAATTTTTGTTTTTGCTAATTGAGATCTAAAATGCATAATATTAAAAATTTACTTTATAATTTTCAAATATTTTTTAAATATATAATTTGATGTGATAAAATAATGCATATGTCGATGCATTGCGTAAACAAAGCATGTATAATGCGAATACATGTTGCTTTAAAGACACATAACATTAATTTTGCATGGTATTCACATTTGGTATTTCATTTCATATTTACTTGAAATAAACTTGGTTTAACCATGCTATATATATATATATATAACTAACTAAACATATATATATATATATGTTTGCAAAAAAAATATATACCTTAATTCTTCGAACTCAGTATTAGCTTGTTCAAAATCATAATCATTATCGAATTTCAGCGTATTCTTAGGTTTGGCACCAGCATTACCGGGTTGATTTCTAAAACCACCACGACCTCTTCCTCTGCCACGCATATTTCCACGATTCATCCATCCTCCACGATTTCCACGACCACCTTGAGCATGTGTACCTTGACCTTGAAGTTGACCATCTTGTTTCATTGTATCACGTTTTCCATCATTATATTGTGATACAGTACCTCCTGTTTTATTACCACTATGGCTGAAAATAATATATAAAATTATATTATATTATATTATATATATTATAAGAACATCATTAATATTTAATTAAAAAATTGTACTTTTTAAACATTAAATTTAGTTAAGTATTTTGAAAATAATATATATTATACCTATCGTGATCACGTCGAGCAGGTTGAATAGTTCTTATATTCGTCTTTTCACCAAGCTTGCCAACATTTCCACTCTGCTGTTGTTGTTGCTGCTGTTGATGACCCACCTGAATACTTTGATCCATAGTTGGACTTTTTCGTGTCAATAAAGATGAAGTTGGAGTTGTTGATCGTGAACCTCCACTAATGAGATCTAATACACCTATGAAAATAAGTTAAAAGAAAATAAGCAAATATGCATGTTATAATTCTATGAAAACTTAATATTTAAAAAATATAATTCTAAAATAAAATATAATATAGGAAATATTTAAAAAAGTATATTAGAAATTTTTAATTCTAGAACTTAAATCAAAGTATGATTACAAAAGTACTACATTAAATATACGTTGCTTAAGAAAGTAACCTTAAAAAACAATTTCTACCTGAAATTTCAACTGTTCTTGCTATTATGTTACTTGCTAGTGCATAATGCTTCTAACACTATTAAAATGAAGTTTTAAATGCATATTTAAAATAAAATTATAAATTATAAACGCGATATATATAAAAAAATTTCATGCATATTCTTTTAATAAAATACAAAAACTATTAAAAACAAATTTGCATAAATATATTATATAAAATATATATAACATAAGCAAATCATAACAAATTGAAATTACTACATTATTATAATATTATTATTTTAAATATTTATTGCCAATATAGCATTAAACATTTATTTTAAAAAATCACATACATTAATATCAATATTAAATCACTTATTATGCTATTTGAAATTTATTTAAAGAAACTTTAAAATTAATATTATGAAGTATTAAGAAGGCACATATCAATATAAAAGCATAAATAATACAATCATGAAAGCAAATCATATTAAAGCAATATTAAAGATTTGTTAATAAAAATCATGTATATACTATACTATATACATATTTTTAAATATATACAAATATATCATATAGAATACTCAAGCATTCAATATTAAATTTTTCATTTAAATTTATAATATAAAATTGAGAAGCAAATTAAAAAAATCACAATAAAAATATAATTCACATTACAAGCAAAAATTCATAAGCAGTTAAAAGAAAAAAATAAATGAAAGCAAGTATTTTCAAGTATATCATATATAGTTAAAAATTAATAAAGGAAATTTTTTCATTTCACAAGTAAAGTTAGCAAGCATTACCAGAGAAGAAGCAGCAAGCATGCCATTGGCAAGGGATAGTTCATAGCAAAAACAGTTTACCATCTTCCAGAGATTGGTCTTTTGGTAATGGGTCGACATTGGCCGTCGGTAGTGAGTTTGGGATAGAGATGGCATTGGGTTCAGCAGAGCCCAAGCTCAACTCACTTGGCTGTTTATTTATTGGTCCACGAGGATCTCTAGAAGTTGGCATTCCCATTACAGGTCCCATGGTGCCCATTGTCATGCCATAAGGTGTTCCATATTGTCCACCCATTGGACCCATCATTGGATGAGCATAACTAGGTTGTGGTTGGTATGATTGCTGACTCATAGACGGTTGTACCGTCATCTATAAATAAATAGAATTATTAAGCAATCATACGAAATTATATTGATTTTATTATTTAATATT